GGTCGACCCCGGGCCTCCCGCCGCCCGCCGCCAGCCACCCGCACCCTAGCGCCCCTTCCGCCGGTGGCCACGCTCGCCGTGCCGGGGCGCCGGGCGGGGGCGGCGGTTCGCGGTCACCGCGTTGCTTTGTGCGGCGGCCGCCGGTGGGCGTCGTCTCCGCGGTGGAGGTGAGCCTCGCCCCCACGGCCCGCGCCGGCGTCCCGGATCCCCAGCCGCCGGGGCCCAGTCGGTGAGTCCCGGTCCCGGCCGCGGGGCGCTTCCTGCTCCGGCGCCCCCACCCTACCCCCTGTCCCGGACGAGGCTCTGCCGCGGGCCTACGGAGGGTCCCCAGGGGTCCCCACCGCTCTCCTGCTCAAGAAGCCGGGCAGGCAGCTGGCACCCAGCACCCGGGAAAGACCGAGCCCCAGACCTGGCCGGGGGCGGAAAGGAGCCTCCAGTGCTGGGGACTCTGGATATCTCGGCCTGGAAAAGATTGCTTCTAGCGTTGGAGGGTAAACCTGAGGGGGATCCTGTGTTTTCTTCCGTGTGACCGTGGGCGAGCCCTTCGGCCACCTGAGCCCGGGTGTCTCCCTTGGGAATGCTGGCTCCCCTGTCTCTGAGGCCAAGGTGAAACGGGAAGTCATGTGCAGTAGGTACTGCAGGAATGCTGGTCCCCAGGGCGACCCAGCTGCCTGGGGCCACAGAGAAAGGCCTGGGTTCGGGCAGCTTGTCCTGATCACAAAGTGGGCAGTTTGTCCAGAGATCTATCTGTCCCTTGCCCGGAGAGAGTGGGACAGGAAGAAATGTGCCCATATTCATTCCTCCCAAGGGAACACGGGAGTCCCTTTCATGTCCCCATTTGTCTCAGAACAGTGCCGATTTCTTACCACATTGTTCTTTATTAGCAGAGACTTCATGGGTAACAGGTTGGTTCTTAGAGACTCAGCAGGAGAACGTTCTTCCGGGAGCCCTCAACCCAGTGTGTGACTTGTGCCCACCCTGCCCTCCCAGGCCTCTGATGCCTGGCTCCAGGTGGTGGATGAGCTGCTTGGCATTGCAGCACCAGGGGAAACCGTCACCCCAGCCTGTTCTGAGCGTGATGGTGAAGTCAGAGGGGTTAACACTCTGGCCCAAACCTGTGTTTAAGATGGTGCAGGGCCACAGAGGTGTCCTGCGGGGTGCAGCAGGCCGTGTCATTGAAAGCTCTGAAAGGTTTGCCAGCACTGGAGGGGTTAAGAGTAGCTGGAAGCCTCCTCCGTTGGAGCCCCAGCTCTGCCACTTGTTGGCTGAGTAAAGCTGAGTGGGTTAGTTCAGCCCCCTGCTGTCCCCTCCTTCTCTGTGACCCCAGGAGAATAATGTGCTGGCCCCAGGTGGAGTGTGGGGGCTAAATGAGGGGAGATGGGAAGAAGCCCTAGGATGGGGCCTGTGTCTGGAGCGCACCATGTAGGTGTTCATCATCACTGCATCGCGTCCTTTGCCTCCCGTATGGTCCCCACAAAGCCAGGACCTCGCTCAGTGTCCTCAGGCACAGGGCCTGAGTGTTGAAGCTGGACAGACCCAAGTTTGATTGTCAGCCATCTGCTAGCTTTGAGACCACAGTTTCGTTGTCCTTATCTGTGAAGCGGGCTAAGTGACGTCTCCTGCCCACATAGTTGTGGAATGAAAGGAGGCTGCATGTGGAAGTCCTTTAGCTTGGTTCCAGGGCCACGGTCTGGGCTCCAAAATGATCACTTAGCATCTAGCCAAGAGCCCCACTGCAGATGAATCCGCCAAGAGCCCCACTGCAGATGAATCCCCCAAGGTGGGTACGGCACACTGTCATCAGATTTTTAGATGGTAAAAGAATTTGAGTTAAGTGTTCACAGCGATGCTGACAACCTGATTTTCTCAACTCATAGTAGCAAAGAGTGTGTTGTAGTACTCTGTTCTCTCCCACTGTTCTCCAAGTGATTGTTTCCGAGCTTGTCCTGTCTGCCAGCGAGGCCCGCAGGGAATCAGTAACCTGGCGTTCATGCCACACACTCAGGATTCCCGTTCTGTTCCAGGGCTGCGGTCTCTTCGGCGATGGAGGCAAGCAGGCAGACCCGAGTGTCTCGGCCATACAGGATCAGCGAGTCGTCAAAGGTCTGTGGACAATGCTCACTGCCTATGTCAGGCTGACTCTGGTTATTGGTGTTGCTCATCTCCTTGAGGACTAGAAGAGGTAGAAACAGGCAAGGAGCATACAGTGCAGTAAAATCAGAGGTAGCTCGGGCCACAAGCCATTCGTGACATGATGGCTGGGTGTTTTCATTTTCCATTCTGGCATTTCAGAGCGTCCTCTGTGTCACAGCTTGGCCCAGTTATTCTCTGTATCAATGGCAGGAGGTCAGTGGGACAGGGTAAGAAGTCCCGATTGGCCATGTGTGCTAGCACAGGTCTGTCATCCCAGCACCTGAGGCAGAGGCAGGAGGATCACCAGGAGTTCAAGGCCAGCCTGGGCTACATAGTGAGGTCAAGGCCAGCCTGAACTGCAGAGCAAGACCCTGTCTTTCTCTCTCTCTCTCTCTCTCTCTCTCTCACACACACACACACACACACACACACACACACACACACAGAGAGAGAGAGAAAGAACTAAACATGGCCAGCTGGCTGGAGACCTGCTCAGCTGGAATCTGAGCAATCTGAGCTCAGGTCTGGGTAACCCGACCCCAGATGATTCTCAAGAGGATTCGGGGCTGTTGTGGTGCCCACAGCTGCTCCAGGTAGAGACTGGGGGTGTCACTACGGGGACAGTCCCCATTTTCTTATGTCTCCTAGTTACAAACACTCTTGGTGCCCTGTTTTCGGTAAAAGTGTCCTTTTGGAAGATCTTTTTTCAGTACTGAGGATTGAACCCAGGGCCTCTGCACTGAGCTCCACCTCCAACCCTTTTTATTTTATTTTTTAATTTGAAACAGGGTCTTGCTAAGTTACTCATTTCCCCAGGTTGGGCTCCTCCAGCCTCAGCCTCCTGGAGTCCTGGGACGTCAGATACCCTAGAGATTAAATGTTCTCATTCTTTCAGATCACACATTCTCAGTGAGGGGATACACTGTTCCCAGGGGGTGAAGATTGGTTCTTGAGGTCCAGAAGGAATTTTATCCTTTCTCCATAGAGATATACAGACAGCCCCTAGGTAGACAGCAGTGTGCTGGCAGTGGCTAAATTGGGGGGGATGGGGATGGTGGCTCTAAGGACAAAATATCTTGAAAGGCTTCTTAGTGCAAAATAAGAGAGAAACACTGTGCTAGAAAAAGGGAGTCATGAGCAATCGGAGGTTGAGAGGGGACAAGGCTCTGTGGGTGCAAAGAGAAGAAAAATGGGGCTTCGCTTGTGAGAGAGGCCGGTTCCCTGAGAACGCTCTCTGTTGCCAAGGTCTGCTTTATCTTGTGTGAAAACCCAGCAGCTCCGGCTGCACTCTCAAAGGGGCTTTGTTTCCGGCATCGGCCTCAGAGACAGTGTTGCTTTCTAAGTTTGATACCGCTGGAAACCTTTGTCCTTCGCAGCCAGATTCCGAGTTGGTTCCTCTGGGCAGAGCTCTTAGCAATAGGGTTCTCTAGCCCTTGGCTGATTGTGTTTCTGTTCCTAGCACTCTCTGGAAAAGTGTGCCCTTGCATTTCTAGACACAGAGCGCACCATGTAGCCAGCACCTAGATGGAAAGAAATAAGCAGGATGCGGTGGCGCAGCCCTGTAATCCCTGCACTCTGGGCGGCTGAGGCAGGAGGATCGAAAGTTCCGGCTCAGCCTGGGTAACTGAAGGACTTAGTAAGACCCTGGCTCAAAATAAAAAAGAAGAAGGTCTGGGGATGGAGCTCAGTGGGGAGGTTAGGGTTCAATCCCTGTACTGGAAAATTGCAGTGGGGTCAGTGGTGGCCTTGGGTGCTCCTGTCCCTGTCGCTAAGCATGCCCTCCCCCGCAGGTGTACCACTGGGCCGACCACCCCACCACGGTGCTGCAGCGGCTGAATGAGCAGCGGCTCCGAGGCCTCTTCTGTGATGTGGTGCTGGTGGCCGAGGAGCAGCGCGTGCCTGCTCACCGAAACCTGCTGGCTGTGTGCAGCGACTACTTCAACTCCATGTTCACGCTGGGCATGCGCGAGGCCTTTGAGAAGGAGGTGGTGCTGGTAGGTGCCTCACCCATCGGGCTCAAGGCCGTGGTGGACTTCCTGTACGGCGGTGAGCTGGTGCTGGATGGTGGCAACATCGACCACGTGCTGGAAACGGCGCACCTGCTGCAGATCTGGACGGCGGTGGACTTCTGCTGCGAGTACCTGGAGCAGGAGGTGAGCGAGGACAACTACCTGTACCTGCAGGAGCTGGCCTCCATCTACAGCCTCAAGCGGCTGGACGCCTTCATCGATGGCTTTGTGCTGAGCCGCTTTGGCACCCTGTCCTTCACGCCCGACTTCCTGCAGAGCGTGTCCATGCAGAAGCTGTGCCTGTACCTGAGCAGCAGCCAGGTGCAGCGCGAGTGTGAGCACGACCTGCTGCAGGCGGCCCTGCAGTGGCTGACACAGCAGCCAGAGCGCGAGGCGCACGCCCGCTGCGTGCTCGAGAACATCCGCTTCCCGCTCATCCCCAAGGGCGACCTGCTGCACCGCGTCAAGCCGGCTGTCTGCGCACTGCTGCCCCGCGAGGCCGGCTGCGAGGACTTTGTGGAGGAGGCCGTGCGCTACCACAGCAGCCTGGCGGCGCAGCCCATCCTGCAGACGGCGCGAACCGCACTGCGCACGGACGGCGAGCGCCTGCTGTTTGTGGGCGGCGAGGTCTCCGAGCGGTGTCTGGAGCTCAGCGACGACACCTGCTACCTGGACTCCAAGAGTGAGCAGTGGGTCAAGGAGACGCCACTGCCAGCCCGGCGGAGCCACCACTGCGTTGCCGTGCTGGGCGGCTTCATCTTCATCGCAGGTGGCAGCTTCTCCCGGGACAACGGAGGGGACGCGGCCTCCAGCCTGCTTTATAGGTATGACCCCCGCTGTAAACAGTGGATCAAGGTGAGACCAAAGCCCATTCTTTCTCTACTCCAGGCGTCTGGGGTCCCCTTCACCCAGCCCCGACCTCCCGCCTCCTCTGGGCCTTGCCAGCTGCCGGCTGTGTGCGAGGTGTGGCAGCCACCCACCTCCCGCCCTGGCTGGGGAGAGGAAGGGCGGCCGTTGCCCGTGGCTCTTGCTCCATTTCCGGGAGCATCCTGTGTTGGTGCTGCAGCACGGCAGCCACCGGCCCTGGTGGCACTGACCCCTTGACATGTGGCCAGTGCAAACGAAGAGGCACGTCTTCCGTTTTCTTTCATTTTAGCTAATTAACATTTAAGTATAAACAGCGACACGAGGCTCTTGCCTACCAGATGGTTGTCCCAGCAAGATTCCTTGTGCAGGGCCCAGGATGTAGCTCAGTGGTGCCGCCGCCTGCCTCGCAAGCGCAAGGACCCGAGTTCGATCCCTGGTACCAAAAAACCAAAGATTCCTCAGGCCTCATCTTCTGTGTGGAGCTCTGCTCCTGCAGGGGTTTCCAAGAGGCACTGGAGCCGGGCATGGTGGCACACACCTGTAGTCCTAGCACTCGGGAGGTGGAGGCAGGAGGTTGGCCTGAGTTCAAGTGCAGCCTGAATTACAGAGCGAGACCCTACCTCAAAAAACAAACAAAAAATGAAAAAGAAAATAGGCAGCAGAGCCTGAGCCTGGCCCTGGCTGTGGGGGGAGCCTGGGCCGGACTGGGACTCGACCCGTGATTGCACCGCAGCCCCTCCCGAGGGTGGCCGGGGCAGGGTGGCCGGGGCGTTGCTCTCTGTGCCTACGCCCTCACCTGGTGTCTATTCCACCCCTGGAGACTGGCGTGGCCTTGAGGTCCGGGGCTGTGGTACAGGTTGACTGGCATGCCCCTGGCTCACGGAAGGGCTCCCCGTCTCCCACAAACCCCTCTCCAGGAAAACCCTGTGTGAGCCTTATACTCACCTCCACGTTGCTGTGGACTGGGGGTTTTCCTGAGCTGAACACTCTGGACGGATTCCAGGTGACCTTTCCCTTTTATTCCCAGAAACCTGAGACAAGGGCTGAGTCACGTGCGTGGAGGAGGCTGCAGCCCCACAGTCCAGCCCCAGAAGCTCCGTGGCGGGGTGGATGTGTGGTCTTGTGCATGTGTCCTGCTGAGATTATTCAAAAAGCAAGAGAGCTGGGGTTGTCTGCTTTTTAATTTTCTGTTCAGTGCCGCTTTCTGCTGCTAACAGGGACAGCCATCATCATCAGTGTTTAAAAATATCTGGAGCTGGGGTGTAGCTCAGTGGTAGAGCATGTGCCTTGTACACACGAGGCCCTGGGCTCCATCCGAAGCCCCATGAAACAAATCTGAAGGAGTGGAAGAAGGGAAAGTTGTTTGTTTTTTTTTTAATTTTTAGAAAACTGCTAAGTTGACAGTTCTGAACTGTGTATCCTGCAGAAACTTAGTCCACGAGGTTGAGCACATGGCCAAACAAGTTTGGGGAACCATGTGTCTGTACCTCCTCCCAAGGCTGTGCATGTCCTAAGGACCCTCGGGGACTCTGCAAAGCCTCTCTGGAGACCCCATCTTTCCTTGGTTTAAGTCCTGTTCCCAAGCTTGCTTGGGCACTGTTACACCCTCCTGGGGCGTGGCTTCCGGGACACGGTTGAGGTCACAGCACCCAAGGGGGACATGTCCCCAGCTTGGGGGGAAGGTACAGGTGTCTCACCTCCGCAGGTGGCCTCCATGAACCAGCGCCGTGTGGATTTCTACCTGGCCTCCATCCAAGACATGCTGGTGGCCGTTGGTGGCCGGAATGAAAACGGAGCGCTGTCTTCCGTAGAGACCTACAGTCCCAAGACCGACTCCTGGTCCTACGTGGCCGGCCTGCCCAGGTGAGTGGGGGCCTGCCCAGGTGAGTGGGGGTCTGCAGCTCACTGTTCCAGGGTGATGTGGCATTTGTCCGGTCACCTCCCACATATTCTGGCTTCCACGTTTGGGCAATATTTCCTGGCTTCTCATGCATAGCAGTGGGTGGACCAGGACTGGAGCCGAGCTCCGGCTCAGACCGCCCAAGTGTGGGCATGAGCTCCGCTGCCGAAGGAGGCATCCCCCACTTTCCCAGTCTGCCCCACTCCCGCGGCCAGGGAGCCGAGTGTTGAGCTGTGACTTTAAGGCATTTACTGAAGGCCCCCAGTCTGGGCAGGAGTGGGGCAGTGAGCCTGTTTTAAAGTCACACTTGGGGCGAGTCCCAGCCCCTCAAGCTCTAGGTGACAGGTCCAGGCAGGCGTTCTGGGCAGCCAGGGCGCAGTGCTGCACCCCGCTTGCTGAGCCCTGACTCCCAGTTGGCGCCTCACTGCGGTGCTCCAGGCGATGACGCCCGGGTGGGCCCAAGGGTTTCACCGCTAAGCCAGGGCCGCCGAACGGGCAGGTCGGTGGGGTGAGTATCGGCCCACCTCCGGGTCCCCGCGGTCTTGGGGCTCTGTCACCCCACACCCCAGATGGAGGGGTGGAGCCTGACAGTGCGGTTCCTACACTGTGAGCGCATCAGAGTGAGTGCAGTCCATGTGTGCCCACTGCCGCACATGGTCCGTAGCTTTCCTCGTGTGTTGCCTGCACTGTAGAAGGGGGCGTCCACCACCTGGAGCCCCACCCAGCCCCTCTGTCCGCCCTGGGCTCGGCTTCCACGCACACTGCCCCCGACCCCAGCCCGATCTGTCCCCACCTCCCGCTCGGTCCCCACTGCCCAGAGCTTCATGATGTGCCTACCTGGGCTTATTTTAACCTTTAGTTCCCATTTATTTTGTTTGCCTTTTTAAAAATTCTTTTTTATTTTTTGGTTTTTGTTTGAACTTTTTTGTTTTTTTGAGACAAAGTCTCACACTGTGGCCCAGGCTGGCCTCGAACTCTCAGTGGTCCTCCTGCCTCAGCCTCCTGAGCACTGGGATTGCAGGCTGCACCCATGCCTGGCTGCCTTTTCATTTTTTTCTCTTTTCCTTTTCAGTAAACATAAGCTTTTAGAGGAGTCTTAGGTGTAGAGAAAATTGAGCAGAGAAAGCCCAGAGTTTCCTCACGCACACGTGCTCGCCTGCCCCTAGCGCCCCACATTGGCAGGGTCCAGGGCTTGTTGCTGGTGAGGGACACTGACTTGTTATTATGAACAGAGACCCCAGTCTCTGCACGTCAGGGTCCACCCGCTGTGCCACACGGTCGTGTGCCCTCCATTAGTGTCACAGAGAAGAGTCCACTGCCCAGACACCCGGCCCACCCCCACCCCCACCCCACCTCGGACCCGTGTGTGCTTTGTCCCTCAGTGTCCTCATGGTTGGACGTGTACTCCGTTCCTTCCTTCCAGAATGATGTCTGATCGGGTGTGTGTGCCTGAATAGCACTGTGTCTCGGTTCCCAGCCACTGTGTGAAGGGTCCCAGCCTGGTCCATGCAGGTGTCCTGGCTAGGGCGCTGGCCACCTGGAGCAGAGTGAGGGTAGGACCCTGGCCAGGTGTCCTGACCGCAGGCCGTGCATTCAGTGGCTGTGTCTGTAGAGTGCTCATGGGATATGGGCGTGGTGGCACACACCTGTAAACCCTCCACTCAGGAGGCTGAGGCAGGAGGATCACCACGAGTTCGAGGCCGGCTTGGACTACATAATGAGACCCTGTCTCAAACCCAGTAAGTGCCATGGAGCACCTGGTCCCTGCTTTTCCTCCTTCGGTCCTCGAAAGCCGGATGGGGCAGGTTGCTCCAATTTGCAGCAGATGAGACTGAGGCCCCAGCCCGGGCAGGTGGAGCTGGCCGGCACTGAGCCCCTGTGTCCTCGGTCCCTGCAGGTTCACCTATGGCCACGCGGGCACCATCTACAAAGACTTCGTGTACATCTCGGGCGGCCACGACTACCAGATCGGTCCGTACCGCAAGAACCTGCTGTGCTATGACCACCGCACAGACGTGTGGGAGGAGCGGCGGCCCATGACCACGGCGCGCGGCTGGCACAGCATGTGCAGCCTGGGCGACAGCATCTTCTCCATCGGCGGCAGTGACGACGACGTGGAGTCCATGGAGCGCTTCGACGTGCTGGGCGTGGAGGCCTACAGCCCTCAGTGCGACCAGTGGACGCGCGTGGCGCCGCTGCTGCATGCCAACAGTGAGTCGGGTGTGGCTGTGTGGCAGGGCCGCATCTACATCCTCGGCGGCTACAGCTGGGAGAACACGGCCTTCGCCAAGACTGTGCAGGTGTACGACCGCGAGGCCGACAAGTGGAGCCGCGGGCCCGACCTGCCCAAGGCCATCGCCGGCGTGTCCGCCTGCGTGTGCGCCCTCAGGCCGCGGCCGGAGAACAAGAAGAAGAAGGGCAAGGGCAGGCGGCTGCAGGACTGCGGCCAGTGACCAAGCCGCCTCCCGCACCCCGGTGTCTCCCGAGCGCCCCGGACGCGCCCACGCTCCTCACCAGCTTCTGTTTACTTCTGTGACTTTTGCTATTTCTACGCCGTCACAGCCATCAGTCACATGGACTTCATGCCGTGTCCTGCTTGAGCAGTCACACCGGGACCCAGGCAGTCAACACCCTGGGCGGCCGCCTTCCACCATGGCCGGCGCACGCGGGCTCCTGGCCACCCCGGGAGTAGCTTGCACCTGAGGGATGCAGTAGTTTCTGTAGTGAGACTCGGGGCCTTGGGGGAACACGTCATTTTGGCTTTGAAAAGTAAGATTCCTGGGCTCCACCTCAGAAGTGTCAGGTATGAAACCACCGGGGAAAGAGCCAGGCATGGCAGCACACACCTGTAATCCCGGCACCCAGGAGGCTGAGGCAGGAGGATCGCCACACATCCAAGTTCAACCTGAACTACATAGTGAGTTCACAACCAGCCTGAACTCATAGGGAGACCCTGTCTCAAAAAACCCAGAATAAGTAAAACTTCAGGGAAGCCCCAAGACTGTATTTCCGCCGGTTTCTTGAGCTCGGAGCACTGGCCATGTTTGGCAGCCGCTGACAAGGCCGTAAGCAAGGACCCAGACCTGGTGGACAGTCGGAGGTAGGACAGGGACTTCCCTCAGGGCGCTGCTGCTGCTGCTTCTGAACGGTCCTTTTTTCGCGGCTAGGAATCTTTCTGAATTCTAAAAGGTAACAGGCAACCAAGAAGGGAAGAGGGAAGTGACACGAAGCTCTTTACAAACCTGAGACTGTAACGTGTGCTTTCACTTGTCCCTGTCCCTAACCTACTCACACCACGGTACGGAGCTCCCCACTCGACATTTACTTCTCAGGAAAGGAAGAGTCCATGTGGCGCCCCCTGGCTGCAGCCCCCAGAGCCGTGAGGGCTCTGCCCACTGGAACAGGCTGGGCCCACAGGGTGGCCGGCGTCCTGGGCCTGTACCTGCTGCTGAGCGCTGCTGAGCACAGGGCAGACTCCTCAGCCAGCCTTCCTGTGTCGCTCCTTCCCTAAGCGACAGGGTCAGGGCCGATGGCCGCCGGGCTCCTCCAGGTGACGGCGTCCCTCCCTCTGCGTCGGCTCTGTTGCCGATGGCAGCTGCACCGCCTACAGAGCGGGCCTCCCCGCCCACCGCCCCTCCCAAGCACCCTGGACCGCGGTGAGAGGCCCCCGACTGACTGGGCACAACACGAGAGCCACGGGGAGGGGGATCGGCTCAGTCCTGAGCGGTGACCTGTACCTCAGCGGAGTCTGCTCACAGGAGAAGATTCGTGGTGAGCGCTGACACCCGAAGAAGCAAAGCCGCTTCCTCTTCCCCTGCTCCTCTGTCCCCCGCGGGGCTCGCTCGGTTTGGATCCTCTGCTGCTCCCTAAGCCAGAAGGGCAGCTGGGGAGACGAAAGCCTCCGTGCACACTGTCGCTGGTGGGGTGAGCAGCGTGTGGGAACCTGTGTCCCCTGCGTGTGGCGGCCCCCAGAGGCTTAGGGACCGCAGTGAGGCTCCGTGCGGCCGGGTGTGTCAAAGGCTCTGAGAAGGCCTGTGTTCACTGCTGGCTGCCTCGCCAGCCTTTCCAAAGGCCCAGCCTGCGCAGTTCATTTCATCCCTAGTCCCAGACCTCCGTGAAAGGTGTTCCGGAGAGATTGGACGGCCTGGAGCCCAGCAGAGGGTGCTGTGGTCAGGCCGTTCACACAGGGTGGCCCTGGCCCCAGGAGAGGCGAGCCCCGAGCTTCAGCCTCACCCGTCCTCCCCATTTTGCTGCTGGGCCTTGCCTGGGGCAGCTCTGGCCGGCTCCTGAGTCTCTGGTGCCTTGTGGGAGAGGCAGCTTGCGGGCCATGAATGTGGCTGGTGATGGGTCAGCTCTGCTACTGGGGCTTCGGAACTGGAAACCCACTGCACTGTGCCATCTGGCCGGGGCGAAATGGTGGGCAGAGTGGTGGCAGGGCAGAAGTGGATGGCCTTTGGGAAGAGGTTGGGCCACGGTGGCAGCCAACTGGTCTGAATGAAAACAGCATGCCACTTTTGGGTTAGACTGTCCATAGTCCCAGCACTCGGGAGGCTGAGGCAGGAGGGTCGCTTAGGGTTGGAGGCCAGCATGGGCTGTGTAGTGAGTTCAAGGCTGGCCTGAACTACACAGCGAGACCCTGTCTCCACAACAACAACAAAATAACCTGTCCGTGCTCTGGGGTTCTTGGAGCTTTGAGAACACCTGGATTGTTTTTCCTCAATCTTTCAAAATCAGGATGGCTTTTATTCAGGTTTTGCTTGCTCTTTTTTTTTAAGAATTAAGAGTACCAGCTTTGTATTAGTTGTGGGCTTGGTCCTCACCTAAGTTAGGACCCTGTTTGCATAAGACATAAACGTGATAATAAAAGGGACAGGGAATGGAAAGCTGAAGGGGGCTGGTTGTCCGCAGGGATCTGCTGCTTCAAATATGTATCAAGGGCCAGATGCGGTAGCACGCACCTGTAGTCCCAGCTACGCAGGAGGCTGAGGCAGAACGATCTGCCTGAGCCCAGGGGTTTGGGGTCAGCCTGGGCAACATAGCAGGAACCACCCCCCAGAAGCGCTCACCTGGCAGTTCCAACATTCTGCCCTTTTATCAAGGCTCCCACCCGGGCCTTTGAGGCCTGGATTTAGGCAGAGCCACAGGTGTGTATCTGTATTCCAAATGCTCGGCCTCCCCTGAACCATTCAGTGACCTCTGGGGAATTTGCAGGGACTCCAGAAGCTAACTCTGAGTTTGGGGTGTGAAGGCAAACGCCAGGGGGCAGTGGTATCCATCCTCTGAGGCCCAGGGCTCTGCCCTGAGTTTGAGGGAATTAACTGGTGGTTCCAGGTGCCCGGCCCTAAGCCAAGAGGGACCTTTCAGCGACATGCAGCGGTGGCCAGGCCTCCTGGTGTCTCCTGCATGCTGCTGCCCACAGGACAGTGGCTGGCATCGGGCCCCAGCTGAATCTTCTGCAGCATACGTGGGGTAGCTGCATAGATGCCTAGACACCTGACCCTGCATCTGCCACACCTGGCTGTTTTTAGAGTTTTTTGAAATGTTTTGATACTTTTTGATACAATTTGCTAATCACCATTTTGTAGTCGCCTGCCAGGGGCCCCACCTCACCCCCTACCTGCCTGCACCCCAGGCTTGTCTGGATGAGCAGTGTCCTGTGGCCTTGGCTTCAGGCATCTCTGTGACTGAGTCTGTCCTAGGCCTGGTGGCCCAGAGGACATGGGACCCCCCCTTCTGAGGGCCCACCCGTGGGCTGCCCACGTGTCCCTGTCTCTTGTGGGCCATTTCTCCATACGTGTATGGCCGGGCCTGGTCTGTTCCCGTCTGCCTTTCTTTTAAATAAAAGCGGCGAACCCCCTGGCACGTGAGAGACACACTGTCCTCAGCAGGAGGGGTTGTTCATTTCTTTTTGTTTACATGGATAAAATCAATGGTTTCTGAGGGGGCTGCGGATGTCAAGAAATTCTCCTTCGCTTGCCTTAAAGAGTTGAATGAGGGGCTGGAGATTTAGCTCAGTAGTTCTGGCACCTGTCTCCCAAGCGCAAGGTTCCGAGTTTGATCCCTGGTACCAAAAAAACCAAACTTGAATGAATGTACCCATCTCTGGTGTAGGGACAGACAGAATGTGCTCTTCCCTGTCAGCTCTCTAAGAAGAGCAACGCCAGCTTGTGGAAGTTACTGGAAAGCCGTGGTCCAGGTTTCTTCGTAAGCAAAGGAGAGTTAGATCCTTTGGTTTAATCATCAGCCACCGTCCCTTTCTAAATTAGTTAATTTGATGATTAAGTAACTCATTGTTTATGTTCTGGTTACTAATGTCACTGAAATCTGGAATTTCCATTTAATTTGTTGCTTTGTTGTATTTGTAATTTTATGACATTCAGAGTTTTTTTGTTTTCCTCTTTTAATTAATTTTCTGCACAATGCTTTTTTTTTCTTTGATTTTAATTACATACAGAATATTCAATTCTTGCAAACACATTAAAATAATGTGCCTGCTAGGGTATGGTTTATTTTATAATTACATTGCTAGTCTCGTGTGGCTGTTGTAATGACCTCTATCTTCTGTGCCTTTATGAAAATGAACCCCTTATATGTGAAGCCCAAATATCATTTTAAAAATGAATCAGATTTCCGTTTAGTTTACGGGAGGGTGGGACATTTTGGTTCTGCTTTTATTATGCTCCTAATTACTATGTTTATCGAGGAATTTCATTCAGATCTTTGATTGCAGCACTAAGTCCCTGTGACCTGAAATGCAAGTGTTGCTGAAATTTGTGTCAGTGGGGTAATTTGATTTGAGGAGGAAAACAGGAGCCAAAGGAAGCATTGTGTCTGACGGGCAATCTGTTTCCTCTGCCTGGAAGGAGCAGGAGCAGTTGTGTGGGCACAGAGGCGCCCTGCCCCCCAAGCCTCGGAGAGGGGCCACCTCCCTCCCTGCCTGCAGGCCTTGGCAAGGCCACCTGCAGACTGGAAACCCAGTAGAATTTGCCATGGGCCACCGGGCCAGGACACTGGCTGCCAGTTGCTAAATTTCTCACCTGGGTCCATTTCTGCTTCTGAAGACTGCGGGAGCGCAGACCTCGGGAGTCACTGTCCCCAGTTCCCTCGACCGTGAGGCCTGGCCCCAGTCGGCTTCGCCCTTGGGTTGTGTCGCATTCTCTGGAGAACACAGGACCTGCGGTGAGGCCTTGGACACAGGTGGCCCCTTTGAGGGAAGTGGCGACAGCACAGAAGAGAGCTGGGAACGAAGTGCTTTGTCCTTCGCTGAGTAGCAGGTTGGATGCCAAGCAGCGCTTAAAGCTTAAAGCGTGATTTCTGGTGCCAAGGAGCCCGGGTGTCAGCTGGGCCCAGCTGGGCACAGCTCTGGTCGCAGTGCAGATGGGACATGCAGGCGGCTCCTCTGGCCGACTGGGAGGACAGTCAGCTGCTCTCTGGCTCCAGCTCCTCGCCCTCCTCTCGGGAGAGACACTGCGCGTGCGGTGGAGAGTGCACTGTGACAAGGGGGCACTGTCAGCCCAAGGCCGGCCGGAGCCTGCCCCGGGGGAGGCCACTGTGGCCTTGGCTGGAGTCCTGAGGCCCAAGGGCCTGCTTTGGGACACCAGAGACGCAGCCACCCTGGCGCTCACCGCCTCTGACCAACCCTGGAAAGACTGGGCCAGGGACAGCAGCGCACAAGCCTGACCCGGGGTCCAGCTGAGCCTGCACCCGGAACCAGGCTTCTGACCCAGGAACTCACCGAAGCTGGCACTTGACATTGGCCTCTAGCGCGAGAGCCAGTGGGGCCACCTGGGTCAGCTTTCAGAGAAGACGTGAAAGGACAGCAGCAAAGGCCTTTTGGGCCACTGCCCTCTTGTTCCCGCAGTGATAGGTTCTGCTTGCAGGACTCATCCTCTCTTCCCTCCAAAGCACCCTTTTCCCCTTGAGCAAGTCTCCTTTTTCTTATTTCTGCCCTAAAATAAATGGTAATTTTTCACATCCAAAAAAAAGACTGCATCCAGACCCACCCTGGGTGGAGGAAGGCAACCCAGGGAACCCCTTGGCCTGGCTCTTTCACCTTGGCCAGACGGAGAGCTTGAAGCCTTGAAGCCACAGTCACCTGCAGGCAGGTGGAGGCCACGCCCACTTCTCAGGGCTCCGCCCATGGCCTTCGATCCCGACCAATCATGACACGCCTCTGCGGAGCCTAGCTGGGTGCCAGGCCCGACACCTAGCTGAAGTCCTGAAGTCCGGGCCCTGCTCTGAAGGCCCCTGTGCCCTCCCTGAGGGTGAAGGCAGTGTGTGTGATATCTACATCACAGGGAGATTTTTTATTTTTAACTGCATGGGCAGAGGAGCAAGAGGCACAGAGAGGGCAGAGAGGCTGGGCGTGGGGAAGTGGGCGAGGTGCGCAGAAGGGCCCGGGTGCCCCAGGGGTAAGGAGGACAGAGCCCGAGGGAGCCACCAGGAATCAGCTACACTCAGGTCTGGTGGCTGAGGGCTCAGCCTTTTCTTTATGTCTTCTGCTTTCGTGGGGAGACATTGGGTCACCCGTGGCACCACTTCTTGTGGAGGGGAGGCCACTGCCATGGGACCTGACACCTGGGGTCAGGCACCCAAGGCCGCATGTCAAGGGCGAGGTCCCCACCTTGCCCCTGCGGGGAAGGGCTGGAGCCTTTGAGCCTGGTGGGAAGGTGAGGTCACCAGGTCTCACCTTAGGAGGGGCTGTGGGACACCAGTGTCCCCTTCCAGCCCACCCCCCAGCCCTGGAGGGGGGATCCCCTGCCCACATGCTGCTGCAGTGCTAACCACCCAGGGACTGAAGCCTCAGCACCATGAGCCAAAATAAACATTTCCTTGTGCATGGGGGTGAGGAGGTACTGGGGATCCAACCCAGGACCTTGGCCCTGAGTACACGCCCAGTCCCCCTTTTTTAAATTTCTGAAACAGGGTCGTGCTAAGTTGCCATAGTGGGATCCAACTTGTGATCCCCCTGCCTCAGCCTCCCAGAATACTGGGATTACAGATGTGCCACCATGCCTGCCACCAGTTCCTCTCTTTAAATTGATTTAACTCAGGTATTTGCTACAGTAATGGAAAGCTGACAACACAGAGCTTCTTTGTTCTTTCTCTTAAAAATTAGCATACAAACTGGGCAGGCGGTGCACGCCTGTAATCTCAGCACTTGGGAGGCTGAGGCAGGAGGATAGCTGCAAGTTGGAGGCATTCTAGGCTACATAGTGAGTTCAAGGCTAGTCCGAACTCCATAAAGAGACCCTGTCTCAAAAATCAACAAAAAATTTAAAGCAGTATCTCAACCCATCTTTGAGTTCTGCTGGTGTCCTGAGAGCTACAAGTCAGACTGCCCTGCCTGGACTCTACTGGGCCTGGAAGCTGGGGTTCAGGGCGGCCTCTGTGCAGGGCCCAGGGTGTCCTCCAGGGGGTGCTGTGGAGCATCTGGCTCAGCGGAGGCAGCCACTTGGCCCACCCTGGTGGACCTAGGCAGCCACTCGGGTGAGCTGAGCTGTCGTGCTTTTGCAAGCCCTCCCAGTGACTTATGCGTGCTGAAGTTGCACACACACTGCTCTCCAGAGGTGGCTGCCCCCCCCCCCGCCTGTCTGGGCTGAGTCCCCGCCCACCAGCCTGCACAGTTTGTTCTGGCCAAGTCTTGAACCTGGGGTTCCCCAAGGTCAAGCACAGGCTGCTGCTGATACCAAAGCTCCCAGCTGGGGAAGGCAGGAAAGGCTGGCATCTCCTCGGCAGGGCCCAAACTGCCCTGTCCCATTGAGGAGGCAGGAAGCCCGGGCCCCTGGAGGAGGCTGCAGCATCTGGGGCTCCATGGCCTCACTGTGTCCTGGAGCGTTTTACAGCCCCACTGTGATAGGGATCCATCCCTCAGGGGGCCTGGCATCCAGGGTGCTAAAATATAGCCTCGCACACAGAGCCTGGTTTCCAGTGCAGCGGTGTCTGGGCCTCTTTCATTCCAGGCTGAACTCAAGAGCCCTAGGTTCCAGCCAGAGCTCATTGCTTACCAGCTTCCAACAAGGCCCCGTCCAGGGCGTCCTGTCAGGGACTGGGAGCTTGGTGATGGGAGCAGCCCAGGGCCGTGAATCAGGGTCCACAGCCTAGAGCTTTCTTCCACTCTGTCACAGCCTCCTGGGCCAGAGGCTTTGCCCGTAACATTTCACCTCCCTCGGCCCTGGCCAGCACTGGCTGGAGGCTGCTCTCTGCAGGGTCTTGTTCCCTAGGTGGAAGCAACCTCAAGAACTTTGAGGTCACAGAATGTCTGGGGATCTCAGGAAGCAATGTCCACTGGGGGACGGAGGGTACACATTTGTGTAACACGGATGCTCCAAGAGTCCCATTTAGAACCAAGCGTAGGGCACACACCTGTAGTCCCAGCATCTGGGAGGCTGAGGCAGGAGGATTGCCATGAGTTGGAGGCTAGGCTACACATGAGTTCAAGACCAGCCTGGATCACATAGCAGGACCCTGTCTCAAAAAACAAAAACAAAAAAACACACCCATTTCACTTTGCTGAAACCAGGATCTCCTGTAGTTCTTTGGCCCTGGACTCCTCCCTGTTTCCTATGTCTGTAACTCGAGGCAGTTCGTGGACATGCAGTCCTGGTAAGTGGGAAGCTGGGGGTTTCTGGGTCCCCCCAGCTCTGATGACTCGGTGACTGTCCTGTCACCCACACCGGAAGCTGCCTCAAAACAGCCAGGGGATGCTCGATGGACTCTGTAGCCCAGACCCCAGGGCCCAGCAGCTCGAGCGCTCAGCTGTCGGTGCTGCAGGTGGTGAACCCTGATCCGGCCGGGGCATCAGCCCGGCGGGGCCACAGCCCTCACTCGGCACTCAGTCCTTACCCCACGGTTCCTGAGTGCGTGTTGCTGGTGGGTTGGAGTAAAGTGGCCTTATCCTACCTGAGAGCCCAGCCTGCCCCCACAGAGTGACGGGGGCCTCTGCTGGGAGCTGCTCGAGCCAGAACGGCCATGTCAGCTCTTGGCCTGAGTCACCAGCCAGCTGGGCAGCAGACAGATGCCAGACTTGCCAGGCTCCATAGTCGAGGGAGCCGTGTGTGTTTGTGTGTGTGTGTGTGTGTGTGTGTGTGTGTGTGTGGCACCGGGGGTTGAACCCAGGACCTTTGCATGGAGCTACATCTGCAACATTTTTTTTTTTTTAGAATTTTGAGTCAGGGTCTCGCTAAATCATAAACTTGCGATCCTCCTGCCTCAGCCTCCCATAGTGCTGGGATTACAAGCGTGCAGCACCACACCCAGCTCTGAACCGCTTAAAACCAGTTTATCTCTAAATGCATATCTACATCTGTGTTAGCTTTCCCTCACTGTGGCAGAATACCTGAGACAGATGATAACTTCACAGTAGGAAAGGGTTACTTGACTTACAGTCCCGGAAATCTGCTTTTGGGCTGGTGCCACAGCAGCCTGCTGGGAGCATGAGACAGAGGAAGCCCAGCCTCCGGCAGCTGGAAGGCAGAAAGGAAGAGAGGGAGGCCGCAGGGGCCCGATCTCCCTCCGCGGCCACGCCCCATGGCTACGCCCCTGAGGCCACGCCCCTGGACCTCCCAGGGGTGCTTCCGGCTGCAGGCCAAGCCTTCTACACATGCACCTTGGGGAACAGCCAACGTCCGAACTACCAGCAGGGCAGGGGAGTGCACACCTGTAATCTCAGCACTGGGGAGGCTCAGGCAGGAGGACTGCTATGAGTTCAAAGCCAGCCTGGGCTAGGCAGGGAGACCTTGTCTCCAAAAAAAGTAAATAAAAATAAATAAATAAATAAATAATATTTAGAAAAAAATCTAGAGGTTCTACCCTAAAAAGCCAACAGTGGGGCGGGGATTTAGCTCAGTGGTTCTGGCGCCTGCCTCTCAAGTGCAAGGTCCCAAGTTCAATCCCCAGTACCAAAAAAAAAAAGCCAACAGTATTCATCTTTCAGTAAAAGTGCTTTTTCCTACTTGCCTTACCCTCTCCCCACATTGAATCTCTTTTCCCTTTGTTTTGGGACAGAATGAACCAAACTGGACTTTTTCAGCAGGATAGAGCCCCAGGCCCCTGCCTCTGGCCCCATCCAGCTTTGGAGGCCCTGACACTAACAGAGCAGCAGCCTGCAGGTGGCAGTGCCCAGTCCTCGCCCAGGAGGCTGCGGTCTCTGGAAGTCAGCTCTGAAATGACCGGGAAGCCCACGCAGCATGGCACCACCAGCAGTGTGGCCTCAGATGCGAGTCGCTTCCACAGCGTTAATCACACAGCAAGCAGAGCAGGGTCATTACTCACCCCATGGCAACTTCGCTTTTGTTATTTCTTTAAACTTCCATTGAAAGACAGCATCTTAAAGTAGAAAGAAACGAATTGTGCCGTAAGCAAGTTTGCCAACAGATGCCACCTGTTGGGAGGCCCCCGAGGGACCGAGGTCCCCCCACCGCTGATTGAACACTCCCGTGCCTCAGGTGACATGCAGGTACCCTGACACCTGCCCTCTCAACATGTATTCTTCAGAAAAGTGCCACTGCTGGCCGAGGGGCAGAGCGAGGAGTGAAGCTAAGGAGGGAGCAGTTGGCACAGAAGCCAGCGGACCTCAGCCCCACGCAGCACCACCATTGGAATAACATTTCCTGTCCCCACCTTTCACATCAGCTGGCGCAGCCCACGACGAAGCACCCCAGCTCTTTCCTGCCTGCCTGTCCTCCGTGGCAACCTATTCAGGGAGGCTTATTCGGAAAGCTCATGCTGTTCTCAAGCTTCAGGTATGGCTGTATCCAGGAGAGCATGTTTCTCCAGCCCGGGACTCAGGGACAGTCTCTTACCTGACCACACATTTATGGACTGATGCCAGAGAAGTCCTGACAACCCAGCCGGGCGAGGTGGCCCATGCCTCTAATCCCAGCACTTGGGGCCTGGCACAGGAGGAGCTCCATCCCCAGCCCTTTTTTATTTTTTTTTATTTTGAGACAGGGTCTCCCTTGCAACCCTTCTGGCCTGTGCCAAAGACTGGTCGCAGGAGGGTGGCTTCACCCCCTGGCTGGGCATGATGTTCCATCCCCGTGTCCCTCTGTCTTACCACCAGTGTTTCCCCCAGGTTCATAGAAAGGAAACCGATCTCAAACTTGGGCTCCTGTGGCCTTCGGGCACCATACCAGCACACTAGAGTGATGTCCTCAAGCTGTCCCAGAAGGCACCCATGCTCCAAGTTGGTGGTTCGGGAACTCAGTGACCCCTGCCCCAGGTGGCTGCACCAGACCTCTGCCCTGCTCCCGAGGTCGCCAATCCTGTAGCTCTGGCTGGAGCCCAGGCACTGACCTTTCTAATCCTTCCAAGGGATGAGGATGACATTCCAGGCTGGGGGCCCAGCCAGTGCAAAGGTCCTGGGGCAGAACCTCCCGGCCCGGTGTGCCAGGAACATGGGGGAGAGGAGGGGAGGAGGAGAAAGCAGAGACAGTCTGTGGGGCCTTGAAGGCCACCTGCTCCCTCCCTGTGCTCTTGAAATCAGCAAGCATGAGCTGAGCCCTGGGGACGGGCCAGGGACTGGGCTGGCATGGAGTCTGCAGTGACAGTGAAGCGCATGGGTGCCCTCCTCGCAAAGTCACCAGCCTCAGGGGGTCGCAGGAACCCCTCTGTCCCCTCCTCTGTGTCATCTGCATCAAGTGCCCTCCTTCACGGGGACCCTGGGGTGACGGGGTAATGCCCCCATGCAACACGTCGTGACAGTGTCTTGTGGATGGTGAAAAGCAGGAACCAACCATACACACTGAGTTCGCACAGCCTGGCCCAGGGCAGTGAGTCCCACTTGTGCACCCAGCTGCTCAGGAGGCTGCAGCAGGGGGATCACTGGAGCCCAGGAGTTCAAAGCCAGCCTGGCCAACATAGCAAGACTGTATTTCAAAAAAAATAAGGGTATCTAGAGTCAGCACATGTGTGCACCCCTGAGTATGTTTCCTATGCAGTTGATGCTCCTCATCCTCATACATCCTGCATCTAGATTAATGCTTGCTTGTGGTATGGATTCTGCCTTAGCTACTTTTCCTGTTGCTGAGACAAAGCACCCAAGAGGAGAGGTTTATTTCAGCTCACAGTGTGTGGAGGGCTCAGTCCACAGTCAGCGGGCTCCCAGGCAGGGCAGCGTGGCAGAGGGGAAACAGTCCAGGGCAGGGCAGGCAGGAGGCAGGGAAGCAGCAGCCTCCCTTTCCCTTTCCTCCCACCAGGGTGCACATCTGTTGGCCGCTGCCACCCACATGCAGGGTGAGGCTTCCCATCACCCACACCCAGAAGTGTGCTAGACCAATCAGTGGTCTTATCCAGCACTGCACACCCATGGTCCCAGCATCACATCCTTAATCCACATTCACACACCCATGATCCAGCCACCTCTGAAAAGCTCCACCTATGAGCATGAGGCTTTGGAGGGACATCTGACACAATCCACAACAGGTTCCTTTCACTTCTTTTTTTTTTTTGAGACAGGGTCTCCATATGTGTTCCAGGCCGGCCTTGAATTCCTGGCTGTCCTCCTGCCTCAGCCTCCCCCATGCTGGGATTACAGGCGTGTGCCACCACACCAGGCTAGGATTCCTTTCATTTCTGTCCAGTGAACACATAAGCAAATCCATGAATGAGGGATGCATGTAGGGGGTTATCCAAAGGCAGCATAAGGGTCCCTTCAGTACAGACCTGCCCGCTGCTGTCTGTGCCCGAGTCCCATCCCCAGGCCCCGAGGGCCCCATGCTGGGTGTCCAGGCGGCTCCTCGGCCCACCGTGCCCGCCACCCCAGAGGCCCAGCCAGCTTGGCACCTGCCTCGGCTTCACGGGAAGGCTGTGTCACCCCCACATTTGTAGGTGAGAGGAGACTGAAGGAAGGGCCTCACCTGTGTGGCAGAAATGCATGTTCTGCGCCCGGTGACCAAGGCTGAAGAGCGAGCCATTTTCTATGGGCAGAAAGGAGAGGTTGCTGGGTGAGTGGCCGAAGCGTGAGAGGCGAGCGCAGCAGAGTGTGGCCTCCCCTCATCTCCTCACTGCCCCAGAAACAGATGGGAGGCGAGCGGGCTTCTTCACACGCCGGAAACTGAGCCCCAGAAAATCAGCCTGTTCCCCCAGGTCCTGACTGAGTTGAACACTGAACAAAGAACGGAATCCAGACCAGCGGTGTAGCTTACATTTTCCTTTTAAAATTTTCTTTCTGGGGGCTGGGGATGTAGCTGAGTGGTTCCACCACCTGCCTTGCAAGCGCAAGGACCCGAGTTTGATCCCCAGTACCAAAAAAAAAAAATTTTCTTTCTTTTTTGAGACAAGCTCCTACAGTGTAGCCCAGGCTGGCTTAGAATTTGCAGGGATCCTCCTGCCTCAGCCTCCCACGTGTGCCACCTGGCACAAGATTTACTCCCTTTCTTTAGCCGCCCCCCCCATCAGAGTCCTAAAGTGGCTGCATCGGAATGGGATCTGGCGCCTGGCAGGGACGGGATCTGGGAGTTGAAGGAGGCTCACCTGTAACACGTGGACTCTGTGTGCTCCGTCACCAGAAATGGGAGAGCGAGATAAAACAAAAGGGCAGGGCCAGGGATTTAGCTCAGTGCTGCCGCTGCCCGCCTTGCAAGTGCAAGGACGCGAGTTCCATCCCTGGCACCAAAAAAATAAAATAAATAAATACAAGGGCAGCTGGTCCCTCTAGTGCCCTCAGCCATCTGTCCCAGTGCAGGAACGGGGCTGAGGGGTCTTAGTTGCTTTTGCTTTTATCACTAGTTATTATTATTTGTAGTGGGACTGGGAATTGAACCCATGGCCGTTGCATTGAGCTACATCATCCCCCTCACTCATTTTCTTTCCTTTTTTTTGTTTTTGGTACCCAGGATCGAACTCGGGACCCTGTGCTTGCGAGGCAGGTGGCCAAACCACTGAGCTAAATCCCCACCGGGACCCCCCACCCCGTTTTCTTTTGAAACAAGGCCTTACTAAATTGCCCAGGCTGGGCTCAAACTTGTAAATCTTCCTGCCCCAACCTCCCAATCCCAGCTGGGATTACGGCAGTGTACCCGTATACCTGACATCCAGCTGAGTTTGATGTCAATGTTTAAAAATAAACATATTAATGTCTGGGTGTTGTGGCACACACCTGTGATCTCAGCACTCAGGAGGCTGAGGCGGGAGGATCTCTGTGAGTTCCAGAGCAGCCTGGGCTGCACAGTGAGGCCCTGTCTCAAAAGACCAAAAAAAAAACAAACCCAATACAGAACAACAACAACAAAAAGAGGGGCTGGGGATTTAGCTCAGTGGTTCCGCTGCCTGCCCCACAAGCGAAAGGACCCGAGTTCGATCCCTGGTACCAAAGGAAAAAAAGGAGGAAGGAAGGGGAAGCAAGGCCAGGGCCTGCTGGCTCTGTCTCCCGGTTCAGCCTTGGGGAGCCCGAGCTCTGGGAACCGCTTTGCTGAGTCCCTGGGCCTCTGGTTCTCATCAGTCCACAGACAATGGTTGAAGATGCCCTTCGGGAGCCTGGTCCTGCCGAGCCCTGGGCTGTGGACTCGGCCCGCAGGATCGTGAGGCGCTTCCAGTGCTTCTTGTGCCTCCCAGCAGCGGAGGGAGGCTCAGCTGGCTGCCTCCGTGTCTCTGAGGTGCCTGGGACTCTGCTGCTCCGAGTTGGCCTGGGCGTCCTCCCCTCTCAGGAGCTGTGGAGTTGGCTCCGCAGTGCGGTCTCTGCCTGCTGAGCCTCCGGGCTCAGGCCTCCCCTCAGGCCCGCTGGAGTCACCCACGCCACCGAGGTCCCCTCTGCTTCCTGCTCCCCCACCAGCATCTCTGCCTCCAACTTCTCCAAAATTCGTGCCACTCCATGGTTACCAGGAGCTTGCCAGATGTGCTTCTTTTTTTTTCCTCTTTGTATTATCCTCAAATATTTTAAAGCAGATCCCAACATCAGGTCATTTCATTCTCTACATCTCTCAGAACAAGAAGGGGGCCCAGGTGCAGTGGCGCACACCTGTGCTCTTAGCATTCTGGGAGGCTGAGGCAAGGGGATCTCCAATTCAAGCCCAGTCTGGACAATTTAGCAAATCAGTGGGACCCTGTCTCAAAATAAAATAAAAAAGGGCCAGGGATTTAGCTCATTGGCACCTTGCCTGCCTCGCAAGCGAAAGGTCCTGAGTTCAATGCCTGTTACCACACACAAAAAATAATAATAAATAAATAAAAAATAAAAAAGGACTAGGGACATAGCTCAGTGCAAAGGTGCTGCATTCGATTTCCAGTATCAGAAACAAACAAACAAACAAGAAGTGGTATTTTCTTATAAACCCCAATGCCTCATCACACCTAACACACTTATTGTTAAATAATTCCTTGGTGCACTCTAGGCCTTACCTAGCCTGGGGCAGATGCTTAGGAATCCCTTTTTTTGGGTACTGGTTTTGACTCAGTGTCCACATAAGAAATAGCCTGCATTTGGCAAGTCTTTTTAAAAATTCTGACAGCTGGGCCAGGGATTTAGCTCAATGCTGCCGCCGCCTGCCTTGCAAGCAAGGTCCTGAGTTCGATCCCCAGTACTCCCCCCAAAAAAATTTCTGACAGCTGTCATTTACCTCATACTCCCCATTTTGTTTTTTTGTACCGGGGATTGAACTCGAGTCCTTGCCCTTTCGCAGCAGGCGGGGAAACCACTGAGCTAAATCCCCAGCCCACATTCCCCCTTTTGAATACGATGTGCTCTGAAGATACTGCTTGCTGATCAGCCATCTGGTACATGTCCGTTTACTAGAGGACCAGGTTTAATATAAACATAGAAGATGGCAGAAAGGATTCAGTAGGTGGCCTACAGGGGCTGCTTAGAGAATCTTTTCTTTGGTACCAGGGATTGAACTCAGGACCTTGCACTTTCGAGGCAGGCAGTGACACCACTGAGCTAAATCCCTGGCCCTTGGTAAATCTATTTTTTAAGTCTCACTCTGTGCCCCTTACAAAGGGCACAGTCTCAGTCTCACTGGCTTCCTTCCGTTCCAGCCTAACGTGGAGAAGCCAATAGTGATTGCCTTGCTGGGATTTGTGAGAATTGAGGAGGATGTTCATTCAACAGATGTTTTTTGAGTAGCTGCTGAGTACCTAGCACTGATCTAGGTGCTGAGAAATTTCAGGAACAGGAGTACGAAGTGGCTCCCCAGAGCTTGGATCCAGGCGGGAGGGCAGACCATACACTCATAAAACCAGATCAGTGGCCGAGTGTAGCAGCACAGGCCTGTAAGCCCAGTACTTTGGGAGGCTGAGGCAGAAGGATGCCAAGTTCAAGCCCAGCCTGGGCCACACTGCAGCTTAGCAACAACATATCTCAAAGGGGGTGGAGCGGGGCTGGAAATGAGCCAGGGCAAAGGCCTCCCCTGTACTGCGAAGAGAAACAAATCTTAAAGGAAAATGACAAAGTTGTATGTGCAGTCAAATCAATGGATTTTTTGGTGGTCTTTATACATTTGCCAGTATTTATGTTTATTGATTTATGGGGCTGCAAGCGCAAGGACCAGAATTAGATCCCTGGTACCAAAAAAAAAAAAAAAGAATATTTAGGGACCTCGGGTCAAACTCAGGGCCTTCCAGTCGCCAGGCAGGCGCGGTGCCTCTGAGCCACATCCCCGGCCTTGGCCTTGAAAGCTTGAATTTTATCCGTGGCAACAAACCTTGTGGAGTGCAGAACTCTCCCTGTGCTAACATCGCCTTCCTTCTAAGGGTTCTGGGAACAATGATGGTGGCTTCTACCATGAAACCCTCGGTGTGTGCCAGACTTCTGGCTAAGGGACTGACACAAATCCTCGTTACCATGCTTGTTTTCACTAGAACCGCCCCCAGCCGTTCTTGGTCCCATTTTACAGATGAGGAAAGCGAGGTCCTGAGAGGTTAGATACCCACTCCAGGTCACACTGCTGTGCCACTCCTCTGTATTGTCAGAGTTCCAGAAAAGAGTTTTCTGGGTACCACAGGCTAAACTGAAATACTCTACCATCTTGGGCCAAGAACTCCCGAGGGCATGATTGTAGTGTAATCCTAGCACTTGGGAGGCTGAGATAGGAGGATCACCTCAAGTTTGAGGCCAGCCTGAACTACACAGTGAGACCCTGTCTCAAGAAAAAAAAAAAATTAAGAGTAGGTCTTGTGGTACAAACCTGTTACTCAAGCACTGAGGAACGCTGAGGCATGAGGATCACAAGTTCTAATACTGCCTGGACAATTTAGAGACTTTGTTTCAAAAAAAAAAAAAAAAAGTGGGGCCAGCGTGGTGGCACATGCCTATAATCCCAGCACTCAGGAGGCTGAGGCAGGAGAATCTTGCAAATTCCAGGACAGCCTGGGCTACATTGTGAGTTCAGGGTCAGCCTGAACTGCATCGCAAGACCCTGTCTCAAGAAACAAAAAGTGGGGAGAGCTGAGGATATAGCTCAGAGTGAAGGCCCAGTATCACCAAAAAAGGGGGGAGGGGGACTAGGTCTTGTTTATTACAATTTTTATTTTTCGCTCAAGCAACATTACGATAAAGTCAGAATGCAGTACTGAAAGTCACCAGTCTCTGTCGTGTGTGGATCTTATTTTTCTGTGGTAGTAACCACAGCGGGCCAGAATGATATAAGACAATAACAATATCATAATAATAATAACATAGTATTTGCCTCATCTTTTTGCTGTAAAAAATTTCGGACAGAGAAACCTTAGCGGACTGTTGTTAACCTTTTGCTACATTTGCACCTGCGCTCTCTGTCCCGTCCTGTGACAGTTCATTTTTGTTGAGTCACTAAAGGCTTGGCAGGCATTGTGAGATTCACTCTTTAATTTCCGGCAAGCACATTCTGACAATAAAGACACAGTGTCCTGTTTACACTTTTAAGTTGCCCATAATTCACTAAGCAGCTATATCCGATCCACATACGAAGCTCTCCAAAAGAAATAGGAAAACGGCCTTAAAAGACAGCGAGAGCTGGCATGGTGGCTGACGTCTGAGATCCCAGCTGGCAGGAGGCTGGAAAAAAGAAAAGGCAAAACAAAAGCCAAAGAAGGAGAGGCTAGGGACAGCAGGGTGCCGCCTCGCAGGCAGGGACCTGGGTCCCAACAAACCGAGAACCACAGCGGTCCTCGGGGCGGCTTTTCTGGGAGGGAGAGCCTCGGGCAACTGCGGGGTCTCGGAGCTGCAACTGCAGCTTTAGAACCTCGAGACCCTTTTCCTTCCTCCCTCCTCACTGCCGTCGGGACGGACGCACCGTAATTCCGTCCTTTTGTCCTTCCCACTGGAACAGTCGCTCCGGTTCTTGGAGTCCAGGTCTGCGGCTCCAGAAGGCGCTCGCGGACCCGCGCGCGGTTCGGTTCAGTTCAACCTTGCAAGAAGCCGAGGTCGCACACATCTCCCGAGCCCCTCACGGCATTCTCGTGCGTGGAGCACCTGGCTCCCGACCCTCGCCCGGGAGGACACCAAGGCTCGCTCAGAAGTAAGCGGCCCGGGCCGGCGAGCGCGGGGTCGGCCGCCAGCCCCTCCCCTTTCCTTTGCCGGTGGGGGGACCGAGCTGCACCGCGCTCCTCCTCGCTCCTCCCGAGGCAAGCTCCCTCCCGCGCCGCCCGGCCGGGCTGCACCCAAGTAGACGGCTGAAGGAAGCGGCGACGCGAAGCTGGGCGGCTCCTGCTGAGCGCCGACCCCGGCCCGGCTCCGCGCGCTCTCGGGAGCTCTCTTCAGTCTGCGTTTCCTTCCCGCCGTCCGTCCGGCGAGAGGCTGGGCCCACACCCGGCGCCCGCAAGAGGGCGTCCACGCGAGCGAATGAATGAGCGCGTGAACGCGGGGGCACCCAGCACCTTCAGGTCTCTCCGGCGGCCCCCGCCTACAGGCCCTGGGAGGCTCGTGGGCCCCGGGCCGACCCCCGGAGACTGCTCCGGGCTCCAACGCCCCGGGACAGGACGGCGGCCGCCTGGCGGGCTCGGCCTGGGGCTGGGGATGGGCCCATGCAGCGCCGCGGGGCGGGAAGGTCATGCGGCCGGATACGCCCACTTGCTGGCACGCAGGCGCAGAGCGCGCCCCTGCCCCACGGCGCCGCCAGTGCGCAAGCGCGGCGGCCGACGCGAGCGTCTGTGCGGCGAGAAGATGGCGGCGGCGGGGAACGCGGCGTGAGGAGCCGGAGCAGCGCCGAGTCCCATTGAAACGGGGCGCCATGGCCCTCCACGGCCCGCAGGTAGCCAGACCGTGCTCCGGCCGCCTGGCCCGAGCTCCTGGCGGCGGGCGGGATGGCGGGGGTTGGGATGTGGGTATGCTGCAGGCCTAGGCCCCTGCCGCGCCCCTCGCTGCTGCTCGAGCGCCGCCCGCCGGAGGCCTCGGGGTCCCAGGGCGGCGGGGAGAGGTTCCGCGTCCTGCGGGCAGCGGCTGAGGCCGGACACGCGCGGGCCGGGGCGGGGGCCGCGGGATCGGGTGCAGGCGCCTCACGCCCCCGGACGCTCAGGCCGCGTCTCCACGCGGGGTGGCGCGGTTCCTGGCGTTCAGCCGAGTCGCGGAGTTGCAGCCTGAGGCTGCCGTGCTGGAGAAAACTCTAGACGACTCGGGGGCCGCACTCGCACGTGCACTGGTGACAGCGTTCGCGCAGATGCGCCGGGAGACCGGACCGGGCAGGCACTCAGGCCTCAGGGTCCTCTAAGGCAGCCCCCGGGCAGAGGAGCCGCCGGGGAGGCGCTGCTAGTGGAGTGGAGCTCCCGCGTCTTCCCCTCCCCAGATCGCAAGGGTTCTGGAGGAAAGTCCGCATCATGCGGTTATTATTACTAGTCGGGTTTGCCTTACTGTAGGTTTGTGGACGTCGAATCCCTAGAAACTGTTGCACACTCTTATATACTGGAGAAATAAAGTAGCTATTTGGAAAACTGGTGGCGGGTAAAACTAACCTTTCACACGTACATTGTTTTTTTGTTGTTGTCAGGGCAGATAAAGCTAACCTGATCAGATGTCTTCTAAATAATGATTTTAATATCTAGCTAATGCATGTTATGAAATCTAAAACTCGAAAGCAACTTTTAAAAATTTAGGTCTTACAGGAAATTACAATGTTATTAAATTTGTGGTACTTAACCTTAGTTTGCATACGAAGGTCTCCTGTCTTTGTTCACTTGTACATTTACTTAAGTGTTTAGTGTAGAGGGGTTTTTTTGGATCAGAAAGGCACTTAGTAGTTGTTGAAAACTTTTTACAAATGTGTTACTGAGAGATTTTTTCTTTTGAGATTTTTGCTTAGCTTTTTAATTAGCTTATTTTATTGCTATAAACAAGTATAACAGTCTGTGAACTAATTTGCGATTGTGAGATGAAGAAAGCATTTTTAGGCATAATTCACCTTATTTAATAAGCACAAGTTACAAAGAAAAGTGGTTTGAAATGTTAGTGGTGATAATATGTACATTTTATGTAATTGTAATTTCTTTTGTGTTGATTGTCCCAGTATTTATTTTATACAACCATATTGCATATACACATTTTTAGAAAATTGGGTTTTGCCAAATGTTAGCTGAACATTATTAACAGCACTTTGTGTTTAGTTATTTAGAGTGTGATTGGAAATGTTTTTAAAGTCTAGCATGGAGAAGGGAGCAAAGAAAATAGTTTAGTTTCTCACAGTTTTACTCTTAAAATAATATTGAAAATATAATCGAATCATATATGACAAACTTGGCTCTTTTTTTTTGAAACAGGGCTGATTATATAGTCCAGGCTGGCCCTGAATTCACTGTGTAGCCTAGGCTGGCCTCCATTCCTGGCAGTTGTGGTGTCTCAGCCTTCTGAGTGCTGAGATTACAAGCCATGCCACCTGGCCTGGCTGGGCCTGAGCATTTTAATAAACTTGTGTTATCCGGTTGCACGGCGTCTGCTAAATGTCTTGCAGTGTGCCTCTCTATCTCTTTTCTGTCTTCCTTCTTACTGGGGGTTGAACCCGAGGCTTTGGCACTGATCTATATCTCTTAAAGTTTATTTTGAGACAGAGTCTTGCTAAATCACCTAGACTGGACTCAAACTGGGGGGCTGCCTGTCTCAGACTCCCAGAGTGCTGGGAAAACAGGCTTGTGCCACCACACTTGGCCAGGTCTTGTTAGTCTTTTTTTTTTTTTTTTTTTTTGGTACCAGGGATCGAACTTGGGACCTTGCGCTTGCGAGGCAGGCGCTGGAACCACTGAGCTAAATCCCCGGCCCAAGTCTTGTTAGTCTTAACAGGGCCTGATTAATTCTCCAAGCATTGACTCTACTGTGTGCTCAGTGCAGTGATGTGCAGCCTGCTTGTTCACTGTTGGAAAACAAGGTAATAGTAGGCCGTTTTGTCTGGACACAGGGCCTCACTGTGCAGCCCAGGCCGGCCTTGTCCTCCCAGTGCTGTGATTATAGATGTGCACCCAGCTGGGCTCTGAAGGCCCCATTTTAGGGTTAACTTGCTAAGGTTATGATTTGCAAATTTTATTGTTTCCATATTATTAGAAATGATCAGTTGAGTCCCATTCCCAGGGCTGAAGTGCTGTGGTAAAAACTGGTAAGGAGCTGGGCATGGTGGCTCACACCCTAACTCAAGCTACTTGGAAACGAGGCAGGAGGATCACAAGTTCCTGGCCAGCCTGGACAACTTAGTGAGACCCCCTTTTCCAAAAATACAGGGCCGGGGGTGTGGCTCATTGGTACAGTGCCCTGGGTTACATCCTCAGCACCACATGGAAATAAAACCCCCCAAGTATTTCAGATGCCCTTCTCTTTCATCATTCTACACTTGATCTTAGCCAAAAGGCCGAGAAGCGATTCTTTCATCATTCTAACCAACACAAGTGGTGGTCTTTGGCAGTTGAAATGTCACTACATTGCTAATTTATGAGGATTTTTTTCTTTTTTTTTTGGTCAGAAGGGAACTCATTAAATGATTTGGGATAATAAATTTGGAGCTACCAGTTTTGCCTTATGCTTGGGAAACTAGTTGAGATCATTGAAGTCATTTACAATCTTTTTTTGTTTTTTTTTTGTTACGGGGATCAGACTCAGGACCTTTTGCTTGGGAAGCAGGCGATGGAACCACTGAGCTAAATCCCCGGCTCAAAGTCATTTACAGTCATTGCAGGCTCCACAAGACTGCTTCCTGCACCCACATTGGGTGTCAGCGCACTGGGTTCTGTCCTCTCTTTCCCCAGACGCCCCTTCTGTGCGGGTTTCAGTGGAGTGTTACTGTGTCATTGGATGGCTAAGCCATGGCTCAGCTTGGTCCTCAGGAGACACCAGTGAGCAGCTGAAGGAAATGATTGGAAACAATGACAGGATCATTGGAGACAGTGTTCTTTTTTTTTTTTTGGTACCGGAGATCGAACTTAGGTCTTTGCGCCTGCACAGCAGGCTGCAAAACCACTGAGTTAAATCCCCAGCCCTTGGAGACAATCTTCTTTTCTATAGTGACAGTAAAATATTTAAACAGGTCACAAGACCATGTGTAATACTAAAAATAAAGGTCTGCGAGCTGGTGGTCATCGAGTGGCTTCCTGAGCTCAGCCGGGCAGGGCCGCTGTGTCCGGGGCCCCATTCACACTCCTCAGCCTGGCTCAGGGCTGCATAGCACCTGAGCCCCACCAGGTCCTGAGCCCTTCTCCAGGGAAGATGTTAGCACACGCGTATCAGCTTCTTTGTGCAGGGCTATTGGGATTTAAACAGCAGTTTTTCTGGGGAAACTCGGGGAAAGGGGTTCCAGAGCTTGGTAATGGTCGAGTGCCAGCCCTAAGTGGCATGTTTACTTTGTGCTGCACTGAGAACACTGTAGGGCTCAAGTCATTGAGAAAAGTTGTATCCTCTGCACTCGGATCCGTAACGTCAGGGTTACTGTTGTGCTGTACAGATTTCGGGTATGCAAGTACATGCTGCTAACAGGTGTGGGCTGTCAGGTGGCACAGTGAATGTGGTTGCGAGGACACTTCTCACCAGTGTGTACTGAGTTGTGAAGAGTAGTACTCTGGGGACCTGCTTTGGAATTTGCAGTTAGGCTGTTTCATCACTGTTTCCTCTCACAGGCGTGAGAGTCACTGTCTCCAACGAAACTCAGTTCTGTTTGAAGTGGAATTTGCTGGCCTTGGGCTATTGGATCACTGCCATTCGTCACTGTAGTGCCCTGCAGCAGTGTAGATGTTCACTTCCAAAGACATGCCTGTGCTTAGCCTGCGGGTCTCCCAGAAGGCCCTTCTGTCCGCTTCTGTCAGTGCAGGTTGGGTGGCCTAGCCTGGGATGGAAAGGGGGCCCAGTGGGCTTGCTTTTAGGGCTTGTTTCAAGGGCCAGAGCCTATAATGTGGTACAAGTCTGGATGCAGAGCCTGTGGGTGCAGGCTTTCCCGAGCCCCTGTCTTCTGCTGTTGGAGAGCTCCTGGGCAGTGACCTCTCTCATCTGCAGACCTGGGAGGCTAGAAGCAGCCTGCCCCACCACGCCCTGCCCCAGAGGCCCTGTCTGGCAATGAGAAGGTGGGTGATGCCCCAGCCGCCCCTGTTCTTGTGCGGACCCTCATGGCTTGCCTTCTGCCCTCAGTTCGCTTTCTTGGCATCTGCTCATGGGCCACGCTGAGCCATGCCGCTGCCTTCAAGGGTCTCATGCCTGTGAAAGGCAGGTGCTCCCGCTCTTGCACTGCCGTGCCTGCTGTTAGACCTGGCCGCCCCATCTTCTTCATTTCTGTTGTGTATGGACATAGCGATAGGCCCTTGCTTTTTTCTGGTAAAGTAGTTGTAAAATTATCAGAAGGTTTACTGTGATAGTTCAAAACTATATTCTCATAGGAACTATTCTGAAAAAAATGTTTGTATGTGAATCGAGTAATATTGGATGGATTAGGTGTGCTTTGCTGTGAGAAACTGGATATAGAGAAAAACAAGCATTAAAACTGCACAAAACATAGGCTAGACTGTTGCCCAGTGGTAGAGTGCTAGTCTAGCAAGTAGGCCTTGGGTTCCATGCCCTATAGGAGGGAAAAAAAGAAAAAGCTGAGCATGGTGGCCCAAACCTGTCATCCCAGTACTCGGGAGGCTGAGGCAGGAGGATTGCAAGTTTGAGCCCAGCCCGGGCAGTTTGAAATGCAGCCTGTCTCAAAATAAAAAGGGCTGAGGGTGAAGATCAGTTGAAGGCCCTGGGTCCAATTCCCATTGCCACCCAAGCAAACAACGACAAAAGCCCAGGCCACATTTAGACCTGCTACCC